AGTTCTCAGGCTCTCCTATCAGACCACAGTGTGGTCGGGGTCAGAGTTCACACTGAAAAGCTTAAAAGCACGACGGCAGCAACATCTGGATGGCACCGCTTCTTTTCTTCACCGTCTAAAATCTGTGTTGCTGTGATTATATGATCGAATCTGTCCTGCGAGACTTCGTTTGAACAGGAAACAATAAGCTTTGGTTTGCACTCTGCCAGGTTCACACGTGCGTTTTATTATCGGCCCCGAGAACAAACAACACTCAGGATGCGTGTGAAACGTTAAACCTGAGAACAGCAAAGAGCAACTGCAAGTCACGACATCAGTGTCACTTCTATAATAATCAGTGCGTTAATATTTAAAGTCCACATGGTTGCAGCTGCGATATCTTCCAGCCTCAAACAGAAACACTGAGTGAACATAATTTATCAGCTTTTCAGTTTTAAGCACTTTGTTAAAAAATCTGAAAAGGCTTCGAATTATTTGTAGTTGAGCCGTCTCGCCTCGTTCTGTTCGCTGATACTTCCTGTGTGTTGCATTAAAATATGGCAAATAAAAATAATGCAGCTAATTGACAGACAAGTCCAGCAGTACTCACTCCCACAGAAGCCCCCCTCTGTGATCTCTTCTTCAAACACGTCAGTGAAGCCGCGGCCTGCGTTCAATTTGGCCAGCCGTCCGTCGATGAACTGCAACCATAAATTTAAACATGCTTATTAAAGGAGGGAGCCGGGGGAGGGGGGGACGTGGACACACTCACACAGATACAAACACTCCAGCAGCCACAGAGGGGTGTTATTAATCCTACCTGACGGAAACTACATCCCAAGATTAGTTGGGCTGCAGGTAATAGGGATTTGGTAATGCGGAGCAGGTGAGGGATTAGAGCAGCAGACGACACGCTACACTCCGTCTGAGACATGAGGAAGTTTCATTTCCTCCCTTTGTAACGTGGCGAGCAGAGAAACTCGCACTCGTAAATATGGACTTAACAGCTAGACGGCGACGCGTTTCACGAGCGCAGGCGCGTAAATATGTTACGCAACCACAACGCAAACGTTTACAAACAAACTAAACATTTAAGATGAACAGAATAAACAAACAGCGTTCTTTAAAACGCATGAAAGTAAACTGAGTCTCCCAGACTGTGGCTGCAAAAACTGAGTTATACTTGTAATAGTTACAAAGACATCAAAGGCTTTGTTCCTTAATATTTTGGCCTATCAGAAGAATTGTGGTGAGCCAAGCAGCGCAGATTCTTATTAGCTCAATGTTTTATGGCTCCGTGTTTTTCTTTTTTAGGGGAAAGAAACTACAAATTACATTTTTAAAATATTGAACATGAAGAAAATCGTTATAGGAACATTGATGACTCACACACACACACACACACACACACACACACACACACACACACACGGTGTTCTGTTAACTTCATCCAACCAAACTGACCACAGGTTGGCGTTAGCTTGTAGTCCCATAGCTTATTTTATGATCAAACCTCTATTGTGACATCATCGGGTTAAACTTGGCAAGTCTGTGGATGTTAAAAAAAAGGAACGACACACACACACACACACACACACACATGTTAAGTCACTTTTAAATCTCCCAGTGCAGCTTTAACAAGTCTGCTAAGAGTTGTTAAAACTGTGTGAAAATGCAGAAAACACAACTTTGCACAGGTTTGATTTTCTTATCTCAAACTTAAATGGTTACATTTAAACTTCTTGTGTGGAGGGAAAAGTAACAATGTACCATTGTGCTTATTTAAATAAATAAATGCATATAATAATATGCAAACATATATATGTGCATCTGCATTTAAAGCTGGAATTTTCACTAATTATTACCATTAATTAGTGACCAACACCTACTACCCTTCAAACAATGTTTAAGGATTTTAATAACATACGAGCACAGAGGCATCACGCTGCCGTTTGATTTCCAAGCGGTCCCGTTTCCACCCCTGAAAGTGTGGCCACAGTCTAACAACAGCAGAGGTTGTTCTCGGGTGCACGTCTTCAGGGACAGCCTGCTAACTAGCGACCGCCACGTCGACCCGCGCCCGCGGTCAGAAGAGCTGGAAACTCATCATTAGATCATTTTAATGAGAGGTGAGAGCGCCGCCTCCAACCGGTGCTCTGCTTCATGGCTGGCCCAATTAGCGCAGATAATCAACCCAAATCATCACCCAGCCAGAGCCTGCGCTTACGCTCCCCACCCCACCCACAGCCATATTACCTGCCTCATTGTGGGCCTTAATTAGACATTACTCATCAATGGCAGCCTGTGATCAACACACTCTCGCTCACGTGCAAACCAGCACTTCAAATAAATACATTAAAAACAAAAAACAGTCATTCTGGTGTCCAAGCGCATGAGCATGTTCATAAACACACGGAGAGACAACAGAGCCTTTTCATACCGCCTTAAATAAGGGTGGTGGGGGATGGTTAAGGTTACAGATATAACCCAGGTTCTCTGATTAGCACGTCTCACTGCGGCTTACAGGAGCTCTGATACCTGCGTGTCATTTAGTGCGACTCATGCTAATCAGAGCGCTACATCCAAAATCTCTACAAGAGAGAAGCGTCGACACTGGGACGGGTGCTCTGCCAACTTATAAAACCTGATGGTGGTGGGGGGGAAGCTAGCTTCTGCTACTATAAGCCATGACAAATAACTGGCCACCTGATCCAGAACTATCCTGCCATCTGTGGTCTGGTTTGGGTCCTTGGACTGCAGGTTACTGGGACCTGAAAGCAGAGCCCAGGACATCCCCACCTGTGTGCAGAGCTGAGGCCTCTTTGGAAAGTAGAGTTTCAGTGCCTCATCATCATTGTGCTTCTCCTCACCGCTCTCTTTACATGGAGGTGTTGGAGGAAGAGTAAAGGAGGTCCTTTACTAATAGAATAGGACGCTGCGTTCTCTCCTGAAGATCCTGACTTAGCCTGTACGACCACTACTGTACGCAGGAAACATGTTATAACACAGCGATCAAGAATAAAGGAAGACTGTAGACGATGACGCGGCTTCACCAGCTGTCTCCATAATCTGGTCTAATAAAACATTTGAACGTTGTTTGAACTGAGCTAGAGATGGCACGATACCACTTTTTTATGTCAGATAC